GTTGAAGGCTTTGGAAATGGCTCACAAGGATATGGGGGAACACTGACCATGGTGCTGTCTGCACATGGGAGCAGACACGGGCCTCACAGTTTTGGAGTTCTTTATGGATCTTCCTGCTTTTGATTGCATGGTTTGCCAGCCTCACCTTGTCAGGAGGAAGAGGTTGTTCCTCTGCTCGTCTGAAGAGAGCAGGAAGGAAGTGATGAGGGGAGAACTTGAGACAAAATCTCAGGAGGAATCTCTGGAGGAGCCAGAAGAAGGATTGAGTAGACTGAGCCTGGCCCCTGGGGGTTCTTTACCTTCTCTAAGCAGTAAGGTGCCTCCCCTGAGCACCTAGGGCAACAACATGGCACTTCATTTGTACCAGCTTCTTGGCAAGCTTGACCTTCAAAATCTAGACTGAAATAAAGGCTTAATTTCTGTTTGCTGTTCTGCCATGTGTGACAAACATTAGTGACCAAGGCTCTAGGCCAATTCTAAGAAATTAATACTTCTAGGGAGCAGCTTACTCAGCCTGCTCTTGCTGACTTATCAAATAACACTGTTGGCATGAGAACACCACCATTCTTCTCTTAATGCCTTTTATTTGAACAGTGATGAGTAAAAGCAGTATTTACTTCCCCCAGCTCCATCCAGTTACTGGACCACCAGTGAAGTTCTCTGGGGTGGAACACTGACCTCCCAGGAAGCCAGTATAGTTTCAGTCTAAGGTTGTACTGCTTAGTCTCTTTCCACCCTTCCAATAAAGACAGGAAGGGTTTATGTCTGGGAAATGAATCTGCAAAATGCTCAGCTGCACTCACCACTGTGGTCCTTGCATAACTGAGCCACTACTACCTCCTCATGGACACGACTAATGACCTAGAGAACTGATCACTGTTGGAAAGGGGCAGTCTCTTTCAGATCTTAGTATTTCAGCATGGCCACCTGTTCTTATCATCCTTTTCTCAGTATTTTAAGGTTCACCTTAACAGCTGCTGGGGGATTTCAGTATTTCCAAGTGATTTTTAAGACAGGGTTTCGTGAGAACAAAAGTGTTTGATTAGTTAAATGGACCTAGGCCTGTTTTCTTCTGTGAAAGGCAACTTCCATAGAACAGGTCATGCCTGCATAGTTGAGCTACTTTTACCATCCAAAGCAAGGTAGCCACATCCAGATCACTTGTGGGGACTTGTCTTTGGCCCATACTAACTTCTCAGCTATGCACAGAAATCATTTGTGGCAAGGGCTACATGGCCAGAATGACAACCATGCTGAGACTCGTAAGCAGCATGATCTAACTCTGGATAATTACTAGAGGACTACTGTCATGAAATATGTAGCTTAACAGGCTAGACAGCTATACAGACACTAGGTTTAAAAAAAGTTTATTATAAAGGACCCTGATAGCCCCTGTTATGTGCAACCTCTGAATCTTTAGGAAGGTGTTCCTTTTGGCCTTTACAGCAGTAATACATAATGGACTCAACACTGAACTGAACATTTTAAGCACTGTTACTGACAAAAAGAAGACTGCATCAGCAGCTACTGCTAAAATGCCTATGGAGGAGTTTCTCTGCACCTGCTGGGCCAGGGACCCAGCTGGAGATGCAGTACTGATGTGAACCATGAATGCGGCATCTCATGGGTTTTGGTAGCACTGCGCTCATGCATTTGACTCCAGACTGACTCTAGGTTTTGTAGCTTTTCCTTGAAGCTCACTTTTTTGTTCTGACTGCACGCAAGACAAATAGTGTGCTGCTAAAATGAGATGAGTGGAGCTGTATTGCAAGCATAAAGCGTTAGTCCCCAGCAGTCTGGCGCCTATTCTCTTGCCAGTGGTGGGAGGAGCAGCAAAACAACCAGTTTCGCTGGCAGCAGAAAAGCTTCTGGTGAAATCTAAAATAATCCGTTTCATGTGTTTCTATCACCACAGCAACCAGCTTAATTATGTCTTTAAAGCCTTTCCACCCCTCAACACCTTCCTTTGCTTCCCCACCTGAGGAGCCCATCTGGGGTTGCCCACCTCTGTGGTGGCAGCTCGGGTGGGATGGGGTTCAGTGGCCGTTTCTAGCGACACGCCTGCTCTGTTGCTATTTCTGTGCAGCGTGGCTCCAAAGGGAGCCTCCTCTGTGCTCTTCACAAGCGCCTCAGCCCTGCGGCTTAGCTGGAATTTATGGACCTGTGTTTCTTTTGAGCTTTTAAAAATAATTCTGATCAGAGGGGTTTGTTCTGGCTCCAGCTGAAGCTGGCAGCAAGGGCTGTAGGGGCTGGTGTTAGGAGCAGAATTGGGATGCCGTTGCCTTAGGAGTGGCTTTCTTTGAGCAGGCAACTTTAATTTCCCTTCCAAATACTGAGATTTCCCCACCCACCCACCTCCAAGTCATCTGAGACCAGCCAGTGCTTGGCCATGCGGCAACAGGGGAGAGGAGAGGCAGGAAGCGAGGGTTTGTTCGTTTACCGTTACCAATCCCATTGGAAACCAGCTCCAAGCCCCATGCAGAATTCCAGTAAAACTGTCCTAAAGGGGAAGCCAGGGGCTGTTCAAAGCTTGTGTTCAGTTGGCTCGGGCACAGCGTGCTTCTGGGGCCTTTGACCTCCTCCCCATACCCTGGCTCCCTTCGCGGCTCTTCATTTGAGCTCCCTGTGAAGTGGAATCCATCACTAATGTATGATATTTTTATTATTTGTAGGGGGGACTCTTAGAAGCTGGTAGCAATTAGAGCTGAAACGTCTTGGAATAAAGAAAAAAATCCCCAAGAAGGAAGTTTAATGCTAAGCAGATGTGCAGGAGCAGCTGAAATATGCTAGCTGTCTTCTGCTTCAGAAGCAACCTCATCCACATAGGGCTGCTGTCAGGCTGGGGCAGCTGAGAAGTGCTGCTGCTTTTAGGCTTCTTCTTGAGCCAGGGAGCCCATGTTGGGGACCTGTGGGTTTGTTTACCAGTTGATCCTTAGATTGACCTTTTATTGTGGTTTAGACCAAGGGTTTTGGCAAGGAAAAAAATACTTTATTTAAAAATTAATTTAAAAAAAGGCTAGTATCTAACAATTGTTTTTTATGGTGAGCTTGTTTCCTTGAGATCTCGCACAGTGCGTTTGTTGATATGGCTACTGTGGATCTAAGTTTAAACTCGCTCTATTCTTGGCCATATAAGATGCAGGGTAGCCCCACACTTGTGTTAAGCACAGCTTGTTGTCTCTGTTGGCTGTTTCAGCCTTTTGTTGCCAGCTTGGATTGGGCAAACTGTTCAAAATCTTCCCAATTGCTCCTGCAATACATCCTCTGCTTTATTTATCACTGCTGTATTCAGGTGGTTCTGTCTGGAAAAACATCTGACTGCTGACTGAAGTTCATAATCCTGTTCCTGAAGGCAGTGGAAGTCTATTCAAAAGCCAGTAGACAAGTTGCTGACAACAACTCCTTCGCACCCTTTCCCGTGTGTGCCCTGAGTCTGTAATAGAAACATGCTGTATGTTCCCTCTATCAGCTAAAGCACAAGTTACTCTGCCAGATGATTTCCTGTTGTACTCTACCAATGCAAAGCTTTTTCTTTTTGTCTTAAATGGTTATCCAAAGTAAATTATTGTGATTTACCACAGTGTATTTTGTACTGTATTGTGACAGTGAAATGCATGGGCTTGGGACTTAGGTGGTTGGAAGATTTCAGGTTTTTCCCTGAATAGGCACTACTGGAGAATTTAGTGAAAAGTAAGCGCAATACTGAATCCATCTGAATTACAGTTTTGCTCTAACACAGTAACAATAGTGTGTCTGATTTAAAGAAAGGATTTAAAAACCTCACCATTCCCCTTGAGCTGAGGAAATGCAGTAATGTGTTTCTTGGACCTCTGGTTTCCAGTGGGAAGGTTTGAAAGCCATTTCTTATGCTTTGTATCATGCTAGCAATTTCTCAGTTACGTACGTAGTAGGAATCTATTACTGATTTTTGGCTGACTTGATGAAATTCTGCAGGTCAAAAGACAATAGCAAGTCTAGCAGAGGAGGCCACCAATATAGCTTGCCCCTTTCTCTAGGTGGTTGAAGAGTGCATCTTCTGTGCTGTTAAATTGGTGGGTCCAGAACTGGGTTCCCGTTGTTTTTTTAAATTGTTTTGGCTTTTTTTGTCAGAATGCAGGAAGTTCTTAGCCTATCCTCATCTCTTCTCCCAGGCAATGTGAAAGTAACAGCTACCCTACTGCACCCTCATTCCAAGAAGAGGAGTGTTTGCTGGTTTTAATTTAGAAAGGGGGCAAACCTGCTAAATTGTGAAACATGCTTCCAGGGTATTGAAACAAAAAAACCCCAAACCCAAGCACTCAGTGTTTGAAGGTTATTCCCAGAATCCCAACCCAAGTATTTACACCTCATTTCATGGAGGGAGAGGGAAATCTTTTGACCTTCTTGGTAACAACTCTGTTAGCTTTCTCCTTAACTGGGTTTCTGTGCCGTATTCATTGGCTGAAAGAAAGTGGTATTTGTAGTGATACTTTGAATGTACCTTTATTGGAGCTTTGTACTTTTTTCCATGGAGCATTGTTTGTCTATTGTTGTTTTCCTTAATGCTATTCCAGGGTATAACAAAATGCTTGTAGAAACTTGCATGTGTTTACGAACCTGAATCTCTGTGAGTCGCCTGTTAGCCTTTTGGGGATTGTTAACAGCTGCAAAGCTAAATACTTTTGCAGATCTGAGGCTTAATAAGTCAAACTGTCTCTTGATAGGCATTCCCTGTCCTATTGGGAATTAGCTCAGAGTATATCTTATTCTGAGATCTCAAAATTGGATCACTCAAGATCAGTTTCATAAGTCCTGCATTAAATTAAAACAATAATTAACTGGATAGTTGTTAGGACTTGACCTTTAAGTGAGTCCCCATTATGCCAACACCACTCTTAAGAAAAACTTAACGTTCCTTTCAAAGCTGTCTTAGACTAACTTTCAGACTTTCTGATATGACTGTTTTCTTGTTTCTCTAATTACTTTCTCTTTTCATATCTGCCCTCTTCTTGGATTCCAAGTTTGGATGTCCAGTTTGACTGAGACTCCAAAAAAGAGTGTCACTCCAGGTAATTTCTTGTCTTAGCATTCTGCATGCCATTAAAAAGAGAAGTCTGTAGTTCAAACTGTGCATGGTTTTGGAGTTCTTTTGAATGTGGGTTTCTGACAGTGGATATCCAGGATCTGTCGTCTATCTTGTTGTCTACCTGTATATTGTGTTTCACAATGCATGATTTCTGATAAGGAAGAGCTTTGCTTTTCTGACTGCTGCCTCACCATGATGTTGCTGCTAGCAGGGGTAGTTTGTTGTGTTGCATCTTTCTTGCCCAACTCAAAGCCACAATCTGAAGCCTCCTGTGTGGGTTGACTCTGCACAAATACTTGCACAGCTGCTCGCTCACTATCCCATGTGGGATGGAGGATAGAAGAACAGCAAAAGTGAAAAATCTTGTGGATCAAGATAAAGGACAGAAACATGACTATGTGCTGCTTGTTCCTCTGAAATGCTATTTTGCTTTTCCACAGTAAATATGAAGGGGTTTATATAGAAAACATATGACTGAGGAATATGCTATATTTTCACAAGAGCATCAGATTCCTTGTCACAAGATGTTGGAAAGGAGGAGGGAGCAGTGAAACAACTTCTAAGTGATGTCAGGGTCTGGTAATAGTAGTCCAATACAAGGAGAAATCTAAGCCTTATAGTATAAGAAATTAGGACTTCTCCTGAGTAACCAGTGGATTTCTTCTGCAAACACTTTTCACCTGATGTGGAATACCAGGAAAGAGATCTTTTCTTCCTTCAGACATAGGAAAACTGATCATGAGCCACAGACCTTGTGTTGTCTGTACAGGATGCTGGCCTGGTCGTGCAGTTGGTTAAGGCCACACGTAGGTCTCCAGGCAAAGAAAGCTGTAAACACTCCTGCTGCTTTCCATAGCTGATTTGGTAAATATTCAAGTTCATGCCCTGCTCAAGATATGTGAACAAAATCTCGCCATCTTCATGGCTGAGTGCTTGCTTCTCTGAGGTTTTCAATAAACAAGACTGTTGTGATTTCAGAAATGCTGTCCTTGACAGATTTGATTATATCCCTGGGGGGGAAATTCTGCCTGATCTTAGCAGAGTAGGTTTAATTTCAGGGTGGTAGTAGGGTATAAAAGTGCAGAAATATGTGAAGTATTCAGTCACAGGAGCCTGGTGGTTGATAGGTCACCGGGGAGTTCAGGCAGAGAAACAGAACGAGACTGAGCAGAGGTGAGGAGGAGACAGAAGAGGTGGTGTCACTTGGGAAGAATGACAAGAAGCCCTCAGATTACCTGGCTGGGGGAACCCTTCTGCTGACTGCTTTTAGCTAAATGCATGTTGCTAGTTTGGCTTCAAAACCAATCTGTGCATGATGATGGGGCAAATGCAAGTTATTAATTGCATTGTATGGTGCTCAAGAAGGTGAATGTTGATAGGCAGTGCTGCTCAGAGGTCTTCCTGTACACCTGGCAGCTTCTTAACCCCCCCCCCCCCCCGCCATGCTGCTCGAGTTCACATGGCCTTTTGTTCTGCTTATCATCTAAATTAATCCCCAGTTTCCAACACAGCTACTCTTCAGTCCAGACCTGCCATGGGCTATATCCTAATGTGGCAGGCTAATGGAGAAGACCTGAATCTGAAAATGATCTTTACTTGCATTGTACATATCTGTGTCTGAGGCTGGGGGTTAGAGACTAGAACAGAAGCCATCTTTCCTGAGCTCCATTTGAGGGCATATACCTGCTCCATGAAGTGGAGACTCTAGCTAAGGATTAAAAGTGTTTTAATAACCCACTTTGGAAGAAGACAGGTGCCATGCAGCCAGATCCTGAGAGGTGCTGTAGTGGGGCACTGATTTGGGGCTCCCCAATTACCATTAAGTTCCTTGGCTAGCCTGCTTAGTGCCACGTGGAGTAACATGAATTCATTGCACTGCTGAGCAGGACTAGAGCAAATGCCAGCATATGTAGGTGACTTCATCCTGGTGGAAGAGTGTGTCTAGCAGCTGTGTGAAGATCTCCAAGCAGTTTAACAGATTTGTGTGCAGAATACTTAAGTATTCTTAACTGTTGCTACCTGTAACCTACTTGGTTGGAATCGCTGCTCAGAGAGCCAGCTTTCCAAGAAGGAGTGGAAAGAGGACTCCACTTTATTTTTTTTCTTTTCACCCTCTCATTTTTCTTGGCTCTGTCTTAAAACTCAGCAGATCAAAAATGAAATTTAAAAAAATCCTGTGTCTAACAAGCTCCTTGGCAAAGGTCAGCACTAAATTTATCCATTTGTCAGGATTTATTTGGAAATGCTTCTGAGGACTGCAAAGAACGAAGAGCTGAACTGGAGCACTCAGTTGAGAGAGCGCCTGCCATTTACCATGGGCCAAGCTCGTTCCTGACACACTCCCCCACAGGGGTTGTGTTTTGCTGTTGGTTTTAGCTGTGTGTCAGACACGTACTCCAGTGCTGGAAGCCACAGTCTACCCCAAAGATGCCATTTGTCCCATCTCTTGAAAGCTTATCCAGGTCTTCTTTCTTAGAAGTCCTAGAAAATAATGTGTGTGCCGTATGTTGGGGAATGAATCCAGACATCAGGTTAATTTTCGGCTTCTGTGATTTTTGGTTCATATTCCCTTCTTAATGGCAACTCATGCTGTTGGGTTGTAGTAGCGATCAGGAGGGAGTTAATGCAGCTCATGGGCTCCCATCTGTGCTAGATTTCTGCATGTGTAACCAGAAAGATAACAAGAAAGATTTTAGATACTCTGCAAGGAAGCCACTGCCCTATGTACTGAAAGCCTTGCAGAGCACATGAGCGCTGTGGAGTTGAGGAAGTGTATGTGTAGATGCTCAGTTATAGAGAAACTTCTTATACATCAATCATGGCTGCTAACCTCATGTGAGAGTGTTTGCACATGACCTGGCCATCTCTGGGTGCTTGGTGCTCAACCTTGTTTTATTCTCAGGCATTCTTTTGGATTTGGACAAGGCTTTAGGCCAAACTTCTCTGGCTTTGTGCGTTCTGAATTACTAAAGCTGTTTGATTCCAACTGACAAATGCCTTTCTATTTTTAGTCCCATCTTGGCCTAACTGCGGGGTGTCACCTGCTTTGAAACTCTTTTTCTGAAAACATAACAGAATTGCTTTGCTCTTCACAAAGGAGGTACCTGGCTGAGCTCAGGGAAGAGCTGCAGAAATAATACTGTGCTAACCCATTTGATAGGCTTATCCAATATGTGTATCATCAGGATTGAAGCAAAGGGATTTTTGCCAGTGCTGTTTTACTGCTAAGACCTGGAGACTGGACTGGACTTACTCCTTTAGTTTAGAATCCCCTTTCCTATTGCCACAAGATGTGAGTTGCCTTTTACCACTAAGAAGAACTGACATGCAATTACAGTCTGAATCTGGGAAATGGGAAAGGGGCTGAGGAGTGACAGGCTGCCATGCAGGGCTAACCAGGAGATGAATCAAAAGCTTGATTGTTTAGGGCACATTAAGAACAAAACCCAGTACAATGAATAAACAAAAATAGGAGACAAAAAGCCCCCATTGAATAGAGGAGAGATCTTGGGCTTAGAAACATTGTTTTGATCTAAATCCATATTGTTCCCAAGGAGATTTGTAGGAGGTTTCATCAGTCTCATCCCACTGCTTACTCTAGGAACTGGTTATTTTAGGAACTGCTTTTCACAGACCCATATAAGATTGTGAGTTCTTGTGTAATCTCGTGTGCTTTATGTGGTAAAGCCTAGTCTTTATCTTGTGTGCAGTAGACACTTAACCCAGTTTTTAGGCAAACCTAAGCTCTGTGTCTTAAAGTACTTGGGGATAGATCACTGGTGGAAGGCTCAAAGGCAGTTGCAATATGTTTATTTAGCGCAGCGACATGGTCCTTCTGATAAGAAAGAAAAGGAGTAATGTCTTAAGGGGAAGAAAATCCCTGTGTTTAGAGCTGGGCATATGATAGTTGTGAGGGATAGACTGATTTGAGGATTTTAAGTAGGCTTGCTGCTGCTATTCTGGGTATTTTTTCCTTCCACAAAAGGAGTTTTCCAGAGATAAGTAAAGGCTTACCCTTCCAGAATTGGCTTTAACAAGAAACCAGAGCTCTAGAGCCAAGCTACCACAGTTACTCCTCCCTAGGCGCAGAAAAGTGCAAAGCGCCAACTTTATTGTATGGAAAGCTGTGACACTGGGGGATGCCTTCTGCCAGACAGCCCTGTGTGCAGGCCTTGCACGTGTCCTCAGCCACTGTGCCCAGGTCAGTGGGGCTGGACTACCTGCCAGTTGGTTGTTCCACCATGAGTCATCCTCATGGCGTTCGCTGACCGTTGCTGTGGTTTTGGCTGCTTCTGCAAAGCTTCCACTGACCAGCCCAGTACTAGTTCATTTAGTCTGAATCTGTAAACACTCGATTGATAATCATAAAAGGGCTATATAAAAGCCTGTGTGCTGTATGGATTAAAAGAGCAGACATGTTTATAGCCTGATAACAACAGAGTACTCTGGCAAAGATCAGGAGTCTCGGATTTCCATATCCAGATGATTTTATTTTTGGAGTCCGGTTGGTGGTTTTAATTTTTGGCTATTGCAAAACCATCATAGGTCTTAGCTGTTGCAACATAGGAGGAGGAGGAGGAAGACGACGTTGCTTGGAACGGGCACTTTGCGCTCTTATTTAGGAGGCTTTCACAGTAGTTGCTGGTCTCCGAGTACAGTGGGAGGAATGATGCTCCCTCCTCACTTCCTCGTGAGGGGGACAGGCTGCAACTGTGTCACTTAACAGTGCCAGCTGTGAGGGGCATGGACAAGCTCCGATGACATTCCTGCCCAGCCCTGGGAAGGGAACCGCTGAGGTGAGGAGCGGGAGGATTGTAAAGTGGAGCCCTATGGAGAGGAGGAGGGGTATCCTCAAGACTTTAACCAGGAAACGGACTCGAGGCAAAAAGAAATGGAGAGGCAAGCAAACTCTTATTTCAGCAGCAATCTCTCATGTGCTCTGCTCTGGGGAGGGCTTGCAAGTTGGAGCTAAACCAAAACACTAATTCTGCTTTTCTGGGGGATAGGAAGGGGAACTTTACCTGGAGCATCAGCCTTACCCTATCCTCTGCTCTTTATTTCTCCTTCCTGGGCTGAAGAGGCTTTTGAAAGAGGGGTTGTAATGTCAGGTTCATCGCAGTGTGCATGTGAGCTTGCTGGGGAACTCGTGCCACTCTGCATCCCTTTTCTCTGGCGTGCCTCACACTGTGCAGCCTGTTAAGCTTCAGTACGATGCTGTGTCCTGTTACAACTTAGACCTGAACTAATTGGCAGGGATGCGGATGCACCCATGGCAGCGGCATAACTGCACTCTCTGTCGTGTTGCCTGTCTTGTTCTATCCTATCCCCTTTGGGGAGAAAAAAACCCCACATCCTAACCTAACCTATTGGCAATGTTGTGAGCATCCTGAGTGCCATTGAGAAGTAAATAATTTAAAGATGCTTGTGGAGGTTGGGATGCTGAAGACAGTTGAAGTATTTTACCCTACGGACTGTTCCTGAAGCGAATACAGGAACAACCTAAACCAGGCTACCCAGAAAATGTTTAAGGCTTTTGATTACTGGGAGGAGCTGTTTCTCTGTCTTCTTTCCTCCATCCCTTCCTTCTTTCTCTCTTCCTTTATAGTTACTGAAGTCCCAACTCTGCAGTGGCTAATGATGGGCAAGCATCACTCCAGGAGCCACAGGGACCCCATCCCTCTGAAGGGGGATATTCTCTAAGTGTGATCTGCTGTAGTTATAAATGAACAAGTTTGACTTTGATTACTTCCTAGACCAAGGAATGTATTTCTACTTTCTCTTGTCTTAATAGGGACTCTGTAATGCTTATAAAAGCTTCTGTTAAAACAGTTTCTTAATTGTGTATGTTGCACCAGCCAGTGTAGTGACAAAGAAATTATCCTGCAGTGAGTACCTTATCCAAGGCAGGACAGAGTAAATGGCATTGTAAAGTTCTGCTGGGCTTTGGATATGTGAGTGCAGCTATAACCTATCTTGCCAGACTGTTGTAAACCCACTTTTTATGGAGCCAGAGTTGCGGAGGTGGATTGGAAGTGCTGCTTGTCCAGGTTTCCTGGCAAGGGTGCTTCCCTGGCACATGGTCCCTGGCTCAGCCTCTGTGACTGACAGCGGGGTGTTTGCCAGCCTGCACTAAAGCTTGGTCCTGTCCTTGTTCCCAGCAGGGACATGTGCATCCTGTGAGCACTGACTGCTCCTGCTACCAAGCCAATGTTGTGTTTTGGTGATTTTTTTTTCCTTATTCCCATGAAAATTATGTAGGAGGTTAGAGGAAAGAAGACATTTGGGGTGCCTATTTAGCATGTAGCTTCCTTCATTTCCCCTGCTCCCTTTTGCCTTTCCACACAATGAATTTTCTGCATAAAAATAAGGCCATGATGGTTCTTTGTTTCTGATTAGGGAACTAATATTTATGTTAAGACTAGAATGAGGTTGGGGTTGTAGGTGTTAATTGCATAAATAGGTTGAACGAAGATGATAATGCTGCTCCATTACGGACTGGAGACAGAATTGTGTAGAAAGCAGTGTGAAACAGGGGAAAGCATCGCATTACACTCTAGGTAACCTAGTTAGCACTGGCTTAAACCGGAACACACAAGTCAAGTTGATTCATCATGAACAGAAATACGATGCTTATTTGGAATGAACAGCTATGGTGAAAATCTTCATTATAAATTTCCATGTTGTCAGTTCATGGTTGTCTCCCGCTATTCCCACTGCTGGCTGTGGATCAGCTATCTATAGAAATCTCTTAAACACAAACTTCTAGAGGAGATGACTTCTCTTTAAAGAAAATTAACCTATGTAACCTGAGGAGAGTGAGAGGCACGCTTAGGGAGCAAGGAAGTCATCTAATTTTCAGGATTTCTTAAATCTGGTCCAAAGGGAGGCATTGTGATAGCGTTTCCTTTCAGGAAATGGTTCAATTAATTGCGTTTTGTTCTAGGATTTTCATTTCACAGGATGCTGTTTTAATGGCTGATACATTCTTTGCCTCCCTCTTGGCAGGGATGCTAATTATTTGTCTGTAGAATCACTTTGCATCTTTAGCCCCAACGCATACGAACATGCTGCGTTTGGAAGTACAGTGCTGAGTATCCTGTGCTTGGCGGTCAGTCTCCTGACTTGTCTGGTGGACAGTTTCAGACCATGCTGCTTCCTTCCCGTCTCTTGTAGCCAATTTGTCATCAGAGATTCAGGAGACCTGGAGTCTGCTCCTGGCTCTGCCCCCATCACGTGAAATGGGACTTTCAGCAAGTCGCACATCTGCTTCTGTCTCCCCTTTCCACCTTAATCTAGAGAGACAGGAACTGCCTCTTAGTATTTAAAATGTATAATAATGCTGTTGGCCCAAACTACTCTGCCTTAATGCCCGTTGCTGTAATTCAGGAAACCTGTAAAATAATTTTGCATTAAGGCATGTTGGCTCTTAGACAGAAGTTGTCAGTGCTTTTTGCTCTGGACTGACACTTTGAAGAGTGTATAAATGAAAGCAAATTAAGAAACCCTGATGTCTTAAAGGTTTTCATGACTTCTCAAGGCAGTTTCCAGGCAGAGCACAGCGGGTCTGTGCCTGGGCTTGGGAGTGCAGAGGCCCCTGTCTGCACTGTTTATGTTGCATCAGAGATGCAGCTCATACAGCGAGCAGCAGTGCAAGGAGGTCTCCCTCCTCATCTGGCACGGTGATGTGCCTGCCTTGCAGCTCCATCCCAAAATGCACGATTTCAGTTTGGGGGTGGAAAAGTCAGAAATCAAAAACAAACACAAGAAGAAATTCCAGGAGTGTGGGGAAAGGAAGAATGGTTATTTTGGACCTTTTTTCACCCGTTTGTGTGAGAGCCCATTCTCATTCATAAACGGCTCTGACACTTGAAAGCGTTTCATGCAAAGAGAAACCAAACAACTGGAGAGGCCGGCTCCAAGGGTTCCAAAAAAGAGTGATGGAGAGGGGGAAGCCGGACCGTGCTGTGCCCCTGTCCCGCTCGGGGCGGCTCTGCCATGGGGAATGCGGAACTGCAGAGCTGGCGGGGGGCAGGCAGGGGTGGCTGTGTTTGAGCAAGGATCTGGAGCTATAACTCTTTTTTTTTCTTCTTCTGTTTCAAGTAAACACTCTTCCCCGCCCTCCCCTCTCTCCCTCCACCCCACCTCCCTCTCCTTCAGTCCTGCTCATGTGTTTCTATTTAAGGGCTGCAGTGCAGACGAATATGATTGGCATCTACAGCCCCCTCTTGACTTGCAGCTCAAGCCTTTAGAGTGGAGAAGGAGCTGAGCCGCCAAGGGGAGAGCTGTTTGTTCTTTGGGTTTACTGGGGGGGATGGCTCAGCTGTGGATTTATGCTGCTTCAGCCCAGAACTTTTCTCTCTGAATGGGAGCAAGGATTGTGGAAACCATGTTGGGAAGAGGTTTATTTTCAGAATCCATCGTGAAACTTTGCAGCTAATTCACTGGTTTTTTGGCTCTTTTTTGTATTTTTTTTTCCCCTCCCCTTTTTTTCTTCTTCTTCTCTCCAATGTCCCTCTGTGCTGCTGGGTTGTGGGCCAGAGGAGGCTGTTTCTATATGGCCAGCCATTTGGGGATATGCTGTGAGCCAGGGTTGTTTGCGGATTCGCTTGGCTCTGGTGACAACTTGGCCTGTTGTGAATCAGATGGACGGAGGTCGCTCTCAAGGAACCATGGCTGGAAGCTGGCTTACGGCTTGCTTTTTCCCTTCCCCAGGTGCTGATGCTAGCTCTGAACCCATGATCCTGGAGCAATATGTGGTGGTGTCCAACTATGAGAAACAGGAGAACTCTGAGATCAGCCTCCAGGCTGGAGAGGTCGTGGATGTCATAGAGAAAAACGAAAGCGGTAAGACACGATTGCTGCTTTTTACTCATCCAATGGTCCAGTTTTTTTGCATGTGTTCCTCTTCTTTCGGTTTCCTCATCACTCCTTGTGGCTGTACGTTAGCTCCATCTGGTTCGGCTACTATGTCTGGCTGAGGACGTTGAAGTTTCTCAATGTTGATTTGGGCTGGGGGCCAAATGTTGCCTTCTACTGTAAGAATGTTTCATAGGTTTTGTGCATTAATTAGCCAGGATACGATAATGGAAAATGAAGGTGAAGGAGAGAAGGATCTGCAGCTAATGAAGCTGATGTATATTACACTGATACCGTTGCCCTCCTGCCTCTTCAAGTCTGTGTCAGCATTTCCATTACTAACTCCCTTTTCAGAGGATTTATAGAATGAGTGTTTAAAAATTGCTTGGGATGAAACTTGGCTTGACAGCTTAGTCCGTGGCCCAGAGCTCAGTAGGGAGGGGAAAGAATGTGCGTCGATATATACGTGGCCATGCACACTTTCAAAACTTGTTGCAGAAGTGTTAATTGGGGAATTTTGATGCAAGGAGGCAGAGGCTGTCGTGTAAAAGCGAGATGAAATCTCTTCTGCCATCTGTGGAACAGCCAGCTTGCACTTGGAAAATGAGATTTTTTGGCAAGTGTTCCTATAGATGTCTTTTGTGTACTTTTAACTCTTGGATGCCCGGTAGCTTTGAGTCAGGCTGAACAAATGCAGGAGTTGTGTATGTGTGAGTGGTTGGAGTGGGTTAGCAGCTGGTTTGAATAACTGCCTGTCTTCAGCAGCTCCTCCTCCTGCCCTTCAGTGCTTCTTGTGTATTAATGCAAAGCATTTGTTCAGAACTGGTTTCCAGTCCACTCATGACTTGCGTGTCCTCATCCAGAGGACCTGCAGCATTTGGAGATGCTTTAGCAAAGGCTCATGTTGTGGTAGCTCCACATGCAGGGCTCTCACAACTTGCTGGCTCTGGAGCAAGCTGGGCATGCCAGAGCTTGAGGGAACCAGGTCACCCTGATCAGATCCAGCTTCCAAAGCTTCGAGTCTGATCATCACTGTGAATAACATTGCATTGTATTTTTCTTCTTTTAATGGAGTGGTGATTTCTCTGCTGTATGAAAGCCTAATGCTTGTTTGGCTCAAAGTGATACAGCCAGTTTGCTGGCCTCTGATTTAGTGTGGTGTCCAAAAGGGTAGTGTGTGGAAATACACTGGCTAAGGTGAACAGACATGCCTGTTTCCTGGATACTGACTGTATCACTCATGAAACTGGTAGAAGCCAAAATGCTCATCTGCCCCATTTTAAAACAACCGTTATGACTGAAGGGGGAAAAATGTCTTAACTTCTTAAACTGTTTCTGGGCTGCTGGACAAGCATCCTCCTTTCCAAGCCTGAGGGCTCCTCACTGTCAATAGTGGGTATTACTGTTGTCAGAACAGGGCTGGTTATTGTGGCAACTTGTATTCATACCCATGATGTCCCTGTCTTGGATAATGACTTATGGAGCCAAGGGAATTGGGCTGTTAAATAATGCAAGAAGTGTCTGAATTCCAAATTACAGTGCTTTTGTGTTTTCTTTTAATGTGGCTTCTCTGCCTTGCATAGTTCACATCATATTGTATTGAGCCACATGGTATGTGGAGATATAAATGGAGAGTGTCAAGGTTTGAGTTTAGTGGATCCAGAAATGTGACTCTTCTAAGAAAGCATCCTTCAACTTGGATTACAGTTCTTAAGATCATATTCTGTTTCTTAGCAGCCAGATTTTTTTAATGACCATGTAAACAAGGAAGGAAATGTCAAGTCCTGAAATCGATGCTGTGATCTTGCCTATATATGTACATTTATATATATGTGTGTGTGTGTGTGTATATGTATAAAATGAAGATATAGATACATTTAAAAAACCCCAAACAAACATAAGTCACAGATTGGTGATGGAGAGAGCATTGTTTGCTTGGATGCTTGTCTAAACTATTCCGCCAGGGAAATCATGTTTAAGTTGTTCCAAGAATAGGAGTCCAAACACACTCTTTCTCTATCCTAGGTTAGGGATACCACAGGAATGACTCTAATACTGTGACTTCTTGTCTCTTCAGCTATTGCTTAAGCTATGTAGGGCATGTAATGAAACTAGCAAAAGTTTCTCAAGTGCCAGCTTTCAAAACTCATGAGTTATTGTTTGAATTTGGGTATCTGTCTAGTGTAGGCAAGCAAGCCTAGAAAAGGTGGTTATAACTTCTAAGAAAATGGGGATATACTTTTCAAGAAAATAGACCATTGGACTGTGCACCCATGTAGTCATTCATCTGACTGTATGTTTATGTTGGCAAGTGTTGCGAAACTGTAGCTGTGATTGTATAAATTAAGCTCATTCTTCTCCTGATCCAGACAAAGGTAATGTAAGGTGTTACGTATTTCACCTGCAGCAGGAAGTTTCCTTAGTGAAAGGAAGGAACTATGGCTAGATAGCTTGTTAGATGCATGGCTGAGAAGTCCCATCAGATGGCACAGTATGTATTGGATGTGCTGCTAGACCAGTATCTGAAACTTCCTTGTGTGTAAACATGCATATAGCATATCATATGTCTGATTTGGGTTTTATAACTGTACTTTCAGGCAGTTGGATTTGAAAAGGCACAAATGACAGCTTGGTTTTAAAATCTTTTCTGAATAGGGTTGCTTGATAATGCCTAGGGACACTTAAAAAGTTCTTTTGCTCCTTGGAGTGGGGCAAACCTGGACTTGTTTCTGTTGCATGGCTTTGTAGGGAAAGAAACACCTTCCCCTTACTCATCAGATGGACCTATGCTTTTCACATGGGAAGCTCTAAACTAGTTTCAGAACAATGATGCCTGTTTCATGTCCTGCTGGATGTTTTCTTCTGAACAATTCCTGGGCCTGAGCTAGATTTACCATCTCCTCTGATGGTTGCCTCCAAGTTGTGTGCCCCCCTGAAAGGAAGTAAGCTCTGCTTTCAAAGCCAGTGTATAGGGCAGGGGGAGGGAATTTGGTGTGTGATTTATTGAAGTCTTACTTGGCTATCTTCAAGCTATGTTAAGTTTGTTGCATTTACTGTATAGTATTATTCAGTTACTTTTCCTATATGAGGTGGTATTTAAGATGTCTTGTAGGCAGACATGTGCAAGTCCACTTGGTGGGGCTTTGTCTTATACTTAGTTTTCTTTAACTAGAAGAGTTGGGTAACATCTTCATTATTGTGCCAATAAAATTAACGACTTGGATATCATTTGAAGCTGAAATTTCTGCTCAGTTTTATGACTTAAAAGCAAGGTCATTGTAGCATGTGTGGTGCATAATTTCTGAAAACCTTCATCTCTTATGAAAGCCATGGGTCACTGTAACCTGGCTTGCTGCACATGCCGGGAAGCAAACATTGCTGGACTGAAAGAAATCTGTAGGATTTCTGTACTAAAGAACAAATTATTTAGTAATGTATTAGTTCTCAGACTTTGGTACTTGGGTTTTGCAGTGAATGCCTATCTTGGCTCAACAAAAATTGTCCTTCAGACCTTAATTCTGGTTCCATGAGCAGAGGACCCACAGTGTGTCTGCTGTATCTGATGGATATTTCTCTCCTCTGTAGCTGATGAGGAAAATCTGCATGTAGCAATGGTCACAAATACATCAGGAGAAAAGCAGAGGTTTACATTCTCTACAGGTGGTATTTGGGAACAGGTTGCAGTTACAGAGCTTGTTTTCCTTGCTAGAAGTGACTGTGATTTGTTTCAAGGCACTGTGTAACCAACCTGCACTGTCCAACACTACCTAAGCATTTCTGAGCTGTTTCAGAATAACAGCATGAGTATCTGACATTGGTTTGGACAAGTTTAGTTGACAAATCTTGTCTGTCAAGTACACAAGCTTCTTTTAAACCTTAACAAAAAATCAAAAATAAAGCCTTGTGGAATGACTTAAAAATGTATTTCTGCTGCAGAAAAGAAATGTTGAGTCTTTAAAGCAGGAATCTGACAGAGATTTCTTTAAGGTAGAAGGGGGAGGGATTGGGCCAGAGCAGCTCCCTCTCTCTGCCAAGTTTTGTGTGGATGTGGCTGGAACTGGTCAAGCTATAAACTGTGGCGGCAGTGTTTGCAATGGAAAACCTGACAGATGGTGAAGTATAAGCATAGTCCCAAGCACCTCTGCCTCCGCTGCTGCTCTGCTCACAGGCAGGATGGGTGCTGTTCTCCTGCAGCCCCTGAGAGCCATGTCTGTGGTGGAAATACTGTGGGGACGGTGTTTTCAACCGGGCTGAGCAGGACCATAGCCATTTCCTTTGCAGTTACATAACTGCAGACCAATTTCCAATATTATATTACATGGAATACGTAAAACAAAGCTATTATGGCTAGTGCAACTTTATCGGGATCTAAAGGGATCTCTGGCAAGGGAGGCTGCTCTCTGCTCCTTAGCGGGGATGCGGGACATGGTACTGAAATATTGTGGGAGCTCTTTGCTCATCAGGGTGTCCTGGCTTAGGGGCCTTGGGACTTGCTGGCTGTCCAAGCAGTGTCAGGAGACTAGCATGTCCCTGGAGGTATGCTGTGCTACACCATTTGGTTTTATTTGTGCTGTTCCCTGGCTGCATTCATGATCTAGGAGAGGGACATAAACAAGCCACAACTTTCTTAAAACTTTGAGTCCTGGGGATGCACTGGCTTCCCTACAGCAAACTCCCTCTTCTTAGATTGAGGGCTTTCTGTGTTAGGCTTCTGCCTCTTCATGGGGAACACAGAATCCTTATTTGAAGGTGTTGCTTTCCTGGGTTGAGTGAGTGGTTTTACTTTACTTACCTTTGTGGTTAACTGGTGCATCTTGGCTGAAGATACACCCTTAAAGTGTTTCAGGTAGAAATAGAGACACATGGATTTGTTTGCAAATCATGGATCAGTCTTTCATGCCTATAGCCCCCCTGCCACACTTGTTTTGACAAGCAGAATTGAAGGTTGGTCTCTTGTTTAGTGTTGTTGGGGGTTTTGTTTTTAAATT